GTGACAGAGCAAGACTCCGTCTCAAAAAAAAAAAAAAAAAAAAAAGAAGAGGCCAGGCGCAGTGGCTCACACCTGTAACCCTAGCACTTTGGGAGGCTGAGGCAGGCAGATCACAAGGTCAGAAGATCGAGATCATCCTGGCTAACACAGTGAAACTCCGTCTCTACTAAAAATAAAAAAAATTAGCCAGGCGTGGTGGTGGGCGCCTATAGTCCAGCTACTCGGGAGGCTGAGGCAGGAGAATGGAGGTGACCCGGGAGGCGGAGCTTGCAGTGAACCGAGATCGTGCCACTGCTCTCCAGCCTGGGCAACAGAGCAAGACTCTGTCTCGAAAAACCAAAAATTAAAGAAAAGAAAAGAAAACTATTTATTCCATAGGAAAATAATTCAGACTTTTCAGCCAGAGAGTTGAAATACCCACTAAGTCAATTCATCTTCTATACTTTCCACTTTTCCTCAGGTATCAGACATGCCCTCACTCCACACCTTTAACTTCTTCACTTTCCCACTACTCAAATTTAGAAAGGATTATCCAGCTCAAGCTCTAATTTTTTTCTTGATTCCTTCTGTACTACCAACCCTCAACAAAAAAAAAAATCTTTTTTTTTTTTTTTTTCTGAGATGAGAGTCTCACTTGCTCTGTCACTCAGGGCTGGATGCAATGGCACAATCTTGGCTCATTGCAACCTCTACCTCCCAGGGTCAATTGATTCTTCCTGCCTCAGCCTCCCAAGTAACTGGAATTAGGGTTGCCTGTCACCATGCCCGGCTAATTTTTGTTTATTTTTAGTAGAGAATGGGGTTTTACCATGTTGGCCAGGCTGGTTTTGAATTCCTGACATCAGAGTGATCCCCACCTCGGCCTCCCAAAGTGCTGGGATTACAGGGGTGAGCCACTCTGCCCAGCTGAAAAAATCTCTTCTGAATTTACATAGCTTTTACTAAGTTCACATAATTTACAAAAGGGGGGTGCATTCCAAAAACAATTTAAGGACTTTTATACTGTTTATTATTTGGAACCTGAATTCATCTATCTACAAAAAGTATAATAATATGGTAGGTAGCTTCCTAGCTTGACCCTTCCCCAAATTTGCTTCATCCAACAATTATATGGATGAATATAACACTAAAAGATGAAATAAATTTTGACATTTCTATCACTTGTCTCCTTTGTCCCTTCTTCCCATCCCTAAAGGATGTTATGCTGCCTTGACATCCCAATTGAAAAATCTCTATTGAGAAAGGAAATACTCCACATTTTAAAAATTACTTATTTCTCTCCAAACAACAAATTCATTTTTTTCCTATTATATCTGATTTTCTGGCCAGATACCAATAGAAACAAATCTGGACTGCGATACTAAGGTAAAAATGGACTCATTGGACATTAACACCCATAAAGGATAAATGAGATTGTTGTTCACACAAGTCTTCAACCACTAAACATCCAAGTAATATAGATGAAGTTAATAGATCTAGGACAGGCTTAGGGGGTGGAGGGCAGCATGTTGAATTGGGAGAGAGGAAGAATTACAAAAGACCTACTGGGAGTTTTGTTGGTTTGTTTTTTTGAGACAGGGTCTCAACTCTGGCAAAACGCTGGAGTGCAGTGGCAAGATCTCTGCTCCACTACAACCTCCACTCACGGGCTCAAAGCCATTCTCCCACCTCAGCCTCCACAAGCAGCTGGGGACCACTACCCCTAGCTAATTTCTGTGTCTTTTGTAGAGACAGGGTTTCACCATATCACCCAAGCTGGTCTCCTGGGACTTCAAGGGATCCACCCACCTTGGCCTCCCAAAGTGCTTGGACTAAATGGTTCATGATGGTTGGGAACTCTGATATCAGAGAGACAGGATGGCATATGGAATAGGTAGTCAATATCAGGTAGTGATCTATCTGAGATGCTTAGATTCTTTTTTGTTTCGTTTTGTTTTGGTTTGGTTTTTTTTTTTTTTTTTTTTGAGACGGAGTTTTGCCCTTGTTGCCAGGCTGGAGTTGCAATGGCATGATCTCGGCTCACTGCAACCTCTGCCTCTCCGGAATTCAACTGATTCTCCTGCCTCAGCCTCTCAAGTAGCTGGATTACAGGTGCCTGCACCTTGGCCCAGCTAATTTTTTGTAATTTTAGTAGAGACACGGTTTCAATCATATTGGCCAGGCTGGTCTCGAACTCCTGACCTCAGGTGATCCACCCTCCTTGGGCTCCCAAAGTATTGGGATACAGGCATGAGCCACCGCACCCAAGTGGCTTAGATTTGTTTTTATCATTCATTGTGGAATTTATTAAGTACTACCTTGGTCCTGTTACAGTGATATCATAGCAGCTAACCAGACTGGAGTGCAGAGGCGTGATCTTGGCTCACTGCAACCTCCACCTCCCGGGTTCAAGCAATTCTCCTGCCTCAATCTCCTGAGTAGCTGGGACTACAGGCGCCCGCCATCACGCCTGACTAATTTTTGTATTTTTAGAGAGATGCGGGTTTCACCATGTTGGCCAGGCTGTTCTCAAACTCCTGACCTGAGGTGATCTGCCCGCCTTGGCCTCCGAAAGTGCTGGGATTACAAACGTGAACCACTGGGCCCGGTCAGAAATAGTTTTCTTTAATGCTTAATATAATACACTGTAAATATAACCCCAAAGTATCTTCCTTCTTCAGTATAAGCTAGTTGTATGACATTTTACACTTTTATTTATTTACTTATTTATTTTTATTTATTTATTTTGAGACAGTCTTGCTCTGTCGCCCAGGCTGGAGTGCGGTGGCGTGATCTCAGCTCACTGCAACCCCTACCTCCCAGATTGAAGCGATTCTTCTGTCTCAGCCTCCTGAGTAGCTGGAATTACAGGCATACGCTACCATGCCCAGCTAATTTTTTGTATTTTTAGTAGAGATGAGGTTTCACCATGTTTGCCAGGCTGGTCTAAAACTTCTGACCTCAAATGATCCTCCTGCCTTGACCTCCCAAAGTGCTGGGATTACAGGTGTGAGCCACTACACCCAGCCTGTTATGCTTTTAAGAAATGGATTAAGCTCTAAATCGTTTTAAAAAACAGAACCTGGCCGGGCGTGGTTGCTCACGCCTGTCATCCCAGGACTTTGGGAGGCCGAGGTAGGCAGATCACTAGGTCAGGAGATCGAAATACAAAAAATTAGCCAGGCATGGTGGTGGGCGCCTGTAGTCCCAGCTACTTGGGAGGCTGAGACAGGAGAATGGCGTGAACCTGGGAGGCAGAGCTTGCTGTGAGCCGAGATTGCACCACTGCACTCCAACCTGGGTGATGAGCAAGACTCCATCTCAAAAAAAAAAAAAAAAAAAAAAAAAAAAAAAAAAAAAAAAATGGAGCCTGAGGTTTCAAATTTGAGAAACTTTCCACTCTGAAAATCATTTTACATGACAGGATTTTTAGCGATACATGACACCATAGTCTAGCTCTATTAAACACTATAACAATACATTCTATAGGGCTGGAGTTTTAAAGAGGAAGAAAACCTTTAAAGCACTGTATTATTAAGCATGGCCTGAGGTGGACCCAGTGCCTTAATCTCATTTTACTTTTGCAGTTTGTTTTGTAGATCAAAAAGATATTACATTCCCCCATCTGTAATACTGAGTGGAAAGTAAATGGAGAGAGTAAGATAAACTTTACTGAGAATTGTACAGAAACACATTCTGTAAAGTAACAGCTGGTTGTATGAAATTTCTGTACATTTTTCAGGGGAATCTATGAAAGAGAGAGTGTGTGTGTGTGTGTGTGTGTGTATGTTTAGGGGGAATGTGTGTGTAGTAAGAAATTCAGAGTGACCACCGCATGGTACAGTTTTTAGTTATTTAGAATGAATAATTTTTTCTTATGGTGGTAAGATAAAGTACAAATGAAGATTTACAAATCAGTTTTTTAAAGTACTCTATGTCTGATATACATAATAGGCTCCAATATAAACCCTCATAAGACTTCTGAAACATCCATTGTATCTGTTCCAGTGGCTGCCACATCCAGTTAAATTTCTTTTTAAGATTGTGATTTAGCTTGTACTTCATAAAGGTTTTTTTAAAAAAATATAGTGTTTGCAGTCAAGTTGAACAGTATCTTCATATCAATTAAATAATTCCAAGAATACATAGAAAAGCTTTGTGTGAATTTTTTTTTTAATTTCTAAATTCACCATTTTGATACAAATACCCATGGTTTTCTTCTATGTTTACATGCAGCCAGGAGCTATGGGCGGAGACGAGGTAAATTTTTTTTTTTTTAATGAGATCTTTTGCTTGCCAAATTGTGAGTAAATATGAGTGTGTTTATGTGTGTGTGTATTTATACCTGTGTGTGTGTAAAACAATAATTATTATATGGTGTGATGTTCTATCTTATTTTAGCAAAATAATTTATCACTTTCATTAAAATTACTTTTTGTTGTTAGTTGGTAATTTGTTCTTTTAATTATAAAAAAGATATAGCAAAGACTATTTCTCCTTAAAGTTTTTTGTTATATAGCTTATTGTGAATAAACATGAGGAAATAAAGGCCAAGCATATGTATTTTTCTGCCCTGTATTCATTGTGTTCTTTTCATACAACTTGGAAGGCAGAACTTGGTTTTGGAGGGCAATTTTTGATCTTATTAGGTTGGCTGGTGAATTTTTTTCTGTTATATTCAGAGTCAGATTTACCCCGGAGGTAAATGAAGCTTAAGTTTCAGGGCCTCTCACTTGCTTAGACTCCTTCCAAAGTCTACCTAATTTTTGTATTCTTTTTCTTAAAGAGGGACCCCAAAATAGGCTTTGGTCCCCATAAAACCTGCATTCTCTCCTGGTTATACCCAAACGAAGCAATACGACTTTCATTTGTGTAATGCTGTAACTGTTCTAAAGCATTTCCTATATCTGTAGTTTTTTCAAATAATTTTACGAAGTAGCTAGGAGAAGCCGAATGTAGTAGAAAGCATATGGGACTTAGGGTCAGACAGGTAGGTTGTAATCACTGACTTATCATTTAGATTTGGTATGCTTATCTGTAAATTATGGTAATAAAACCAGTCTTGTCCTACTTCAGAGTATTAGTAAAAAAAAAAATTAAAAAAAAAAAAAAAAAGGGAAATGAAAAGCTATCCATGTAAATTAAAAGTATTCCAGAAATGTAAGTTACTTTGGTGCTCATTTGCAGAAGCTGAAGGAGAAGTAGTAATTGACTTGCTATGTGACCAAGTTAAAGCCAGAGTCAAGATCACAATCTGTGTCTTTTGGCTCTTTATTTGCTAATGTTTACCATTCATCAGGCTGTCTCTGACTTTGTAGTTGAGTCATGAAGAGAAGATAATGATGCTAAATTCAGAGTATTTTCTTATGCTATTTAAAAAAATATTACAAATATTTTCTGCCTATGCTTATCCAAACAGTACTTTTATCATTTCTTTCACAGCAAATATTTGTTGAATGAGTGACTATTGGCAGAAGCTAATATGTATGTACAGTGGATCATACAGTCCTTTTGCTTTTCATCATCATGTGGAAAAACATTTGTGTAAATGATTATTTTCTATCCATGGAAATAAATATCATTAAATTTTATTGCCTTCTTTTTAAATTTAAAAAAGTTAAAGCCTAGAAATAATGTTATTAAGACATATTTTTTACCATATTTGTTTCATGTTGCTAGAAAAATGATCGCTGTCAGGAAAAAAAGGAAATGGACTATTTTATATAGAAAATAGACACCATCTGGAGAATAGACAGCAGGGACTGACTTTTCCTCTTCTCACGTGCTAATCAGTCACCAGATCTTTTCAAGTTTTTCCCTCTCGTTTTCTCAGGTTTTGTCCTTCTCATTTCTGCTATTTTTGTTTCTCCTGTTCCATTTCTACAGCTTCATCTTTCTGAAACACCACTTTGTCTATGTCAACCCCATTGTCAATTCAGGGTCCCCATGATCTGGCCTCTGCCTCTTTTACCAACGTCATTATCTTCATTTTTCTCACCTCATCTTCCCCTGACCAATCTATTTGCTTTCCCACTGTCTGGCCATACAGGTCACCCTTCCTCTCATCTGTGTATCTAAGGACTATCCTTATTTTACTAGTTCAAACCTAACCCTTTCCAGGAAGCCTTCCCCAGTTTCTTACAGACCGTGTTTTCCTCTGATTCTGTTGTCTTGCATTTTTCCTGCCTTTTCTGTATGCCCTGATTCTTCAACTGGGATAAGTTCTTTGAGGATAGTTGTCTTTAGTGCCTAACACTGGGCTGTATGTATAGTTAGCACTTATTAAGTGCTTATTGATAAGGATTATTTTGAAATAACACCCTACATTTATGCAGAGCAGAGTATGGCATCATATTTTTTAAAAATTATTTTATTTTTATAAATAATAGCATATTAATACTATACATCAAGAATATAAAGTCACCTATAGTTTCCAAGCTTCTGAAAAAAATACTCATCCTTTTTTCATTTTACTTTCTCCCTATGTATTTGTGAGGTTGATTTTCTTGTTCTCAGAAGTCACTGTCTTCTTAGTATGAGGTGCTATACTAAATATTTCCTAGAATGACTTGGTCCCTGCTCTTGGTCTGCAGTTTGATAGGTATAGATGAAGAAGAGAATGATGAGAGAGAGAAAGAGAGAAGCACAAATGCTAAAAGACTGAATGTTGGCTTTCTGTAATAAAAAAGAATGGACAGAAAATGTTTTGTCCATGTTTTCAGTAAGTATTTCATTTCCAAAGCTGAAAAAGAAGTCATCTTCCTTAAATGTAATGATATAACCATATGGGATGAAGTATGTCTAGATCTCATATCTAGAACACTCATTCTCTGAAATGTATTCATTTGAGCCAACTCTGCATAATATACTTCTGAGGAATTGGCAGACTTCCTCATGCTTATTTTTTCATGTGATCAGGGATTAAATTAATTTTTGATCCCTTTCCTCTAATTAACATTTAGACTTGCCCAAAAAGCATAAAAATTAAGCTTGCTGATGTACGTTACTTCCCTCTACCTATGATTAGGAATAGAACTGGAGCTATAGCTCATTTTCTACGTGTTACATAAACACATTGGTAAATTTTTTTCTTTTTTTGAGACAGAGTCTCACTTTGTCGCCCAGGCTGGAGTGCAGTGGCATAATCTTGGCTCACTGCAACCTCCGCCTAATGGGTTCAAGCGATTCTCCTGCCTCAGCCTCCCAAGGAGCTGGGACTACAAGCTTGCACCACCGTACCTGGCTAATTTTTGTATTTTTAGTAGACATGGGGTTTCACCATATTGGCTAGGCTGGTCCTGAACTCCTGGCCTCAAGCCATCCGCACATCTCCCAACATGCTGGGATTACAGACATGAGCCACCGCACCTGGCCATGTTGGTAAATTTTCTAGGAACAGAAAAAAAGGGAATGTAATGTATGTGAAAGTTTTGAGTTCTATTGGCCAGTGGGCTTTTACACCTCTCCTGATAAGTGTGAAAAGTTTCCTGGGATAAGTAGAATTTCAGGACCTATTTGGATAATGGAATAGGAATGGGAAGCAAGACATTCTAGTATGTATTTCTCCTTAGAAGAAAGCTTAAAGATGAGATTGCCATGACCAGATGCTTAGAGTACATATCTCTGAGTGTATGCTGTGGGGCCAGCTGGAGAGGAGAAGCTGGTAGTAAGACGATCTATGCTGCCTTAATGAATGTTTTTGAAACAGAAGGTGAAACTCCTGGACACAGATATTGTCAGGCTTTAGAAAGAGGGTTTTATGATAAAGTAATGAAAGCAGGAGATAACTTGAACATCAGCTCAAGGCTTGGATGGGGGCATTGAAGGTGGACTCTTAGCAAACCAAGTGCTTCTAGTAATGTAGTTGAAGCAGTAATAATGAGAAATGAGAAGAATTATATGTGAAAGAATAAGATTTGAAAATAAATATCAGTTATGTATAGTTTAAAAATACCCAATTTATATCTATTTTTATTTTGTTCCAGTAGACAAACCTTGATTTCATTTGTGGAATAAGAATCACACCAAAGAATCTTACCATTTTTCTTTGGTAGTATTCTGCCTTTGATAAGCTTTAATATGTGTCTTCCTATACAACTGCAACCGCTGTTAGAAACTAGTCTACCAGGTAGTGTCACTTAAGACTTTTGCCTACACATTTAATATATGCTGTGCTTTTCATTTCACATGAGAATGAATTTTTATGGTCTCCATGAAACTCTTGTCCATAAGTGGACATGTTGGCTATGCCAGTATTTTTGATGTTTAACAGAATTTCCTAGTTATAGAGCAGTAAGGAGAATATGAAAGGTGCTTTTAACAATGCAAATGAGAAAATACAACTAGTCTACCAGGTAGTGTCATTTAAGATTTTTGCCTACATATTTATATTGTGCTTTTCATTTACATGAGTATGAGTTTTTATGGTCTCCGTGACACTCTTGTCCATAAGTAGACATGTTGGCTATGCCAGTATTTTTGTTTTTGTTTTTTGCTTTTTGAGATGGAGTCTCGCTTCATTGCCCAGGCTTGAGTACAGTGGCACGATCTCGGCTCACTGCAACCTCCGCTTTCCCAAGTTCAAGCAATTCTTCTGCCTCAGCCCCCCGGAGTAGCTGGGATTACAGGCACGCACCACCATGCCCAGCTAGTTTTTGTATTTTTAGTAGAGATGGGATTTCTCCTTGTTGGCCAGGCTGGTCTCAAACTCCTGACCCCAGAGGATCTGCCCACCCCAGCCTCCCAAAGTGCTGGGATTATAGGCGTGAGCCACCATACCTGGCTCATGCCAGTATTTTTGATGTTTAACAGAATTTCCTAGTTATAGATCAGTAAGGAGAATATAAAAGGTCCTTTTAACAATGCAAATGGAAAAATACAAAGAATGATTAGAGTTACTGCTATAAATGTACTCCTGCATATATTTAGTTCATAAAAATATATTGATATTAATTGGTTACTTAATTGATAACAAAAGTTCTAAAATCCAATCAGACAAACTTGTGTGCTGAGTTGAAGTTGAGTATTTCTGTCAAAAGCCTGCTTAAGGGAAGAGAGATCAGCTATTCCAGTGAGACCATGCTAAAAGCATACCATCCTGCTAATTCAAATCCAGTTGTATGAGCTTGCTTGTTTAAGGGTATGGATGATTCTAGAATAAAACATGGACATGAATCGGAGAATTTTCTGAATGTTCATGGTTATAATATCTGAAAATGTTACTGCTCATAGTAATAGGAAAATTTGAGCACAGACAATAG